TCTTATTATTTATCTCTATTTCTATAAAAAAAAAAATTAAATTGGTTTCTTATAACATTTTTTTCTTTTTTCATTCATTTTTTGAGAAAAATACCTTTTTTTTTTATTAAATTATGAAAATTTATAATTAAATTTAAATATATTAATTTTTTATTTATTTTTAAAAGTATACTATACTAATAATATTAAATCCTATATATATATATGTATACTTTTGATTATTAATTATTTAATTAAAGTCTTAAATTTTTATTTTTTCAAATTCTTTTTTATTATATGGGAGGAAGAAGTAGAAGTAAAAGGGGAATTATGAGAACTAACATCTCGTATGTGAGAATTTCACACCTGATCCATGTGAATTCTATTTCAAATGAAAGTTTTCAAAAGTCTTTTGAATTCCACAAAAGTCTATAAAATTTTTAAATGAAAATCCATAAAAGTCTACGAAAGACTTCCACTAATTCCATACAAATCTTTAAAAGATCCACGAAATCTACAAAAGTCATCAGTTAAAAAAAGTCCATCAAAGTTTTCAAAAGTCCCAATTGAATACACCCCCCAAAAATTTATTTTTGATTTCAGCCTCCTTCCTTTCTATTCTATTTCAGTAATAATTTTCATTAATGCTTTGAGAATCCATTGTCTGTTTTCCAAAAACTTGCAAAAAGAATAGTCATAAAATTTCTATATACTCTATGGTTAAGATACGAGATTGATGATTTGTTGCCATGTTTCATTCACACTGAATTTAAATCTGAAGCCTGGTTCAGCTTTTAGTAGCACTGCTCTGTGAACTTGCAATCATTGTAAAATCCTATCATAAAAATATGTTTACAGCATATCAAATCTTTAGCAATCTTCCTTGATTGCTGGATATGACGTTATGGAGCACCTATTTCATTTCTTATTTTCTTTTTCAATTTTATCAGAGATCTTATGTTGGTTATATGCTTGCGTAATATTTGTGTTAAAGTAGTTATCTTCCTGATCTCTTGTACTGATGGCTCTATATTTTTATAGGTATGAAGATGTTAACCACTATGAAGAGAAGGCACCATTTGCGAAACTTGCACATCCACAGCCCGAACATTTCTATCCGTTACATGTAGCAACTGGTGCTGCCGGTGAAAATGCAAAAGCTGACCTTATCCACCATAGCTGGACTAATTACACACTCTCTTATGCATCCTATAAGTTCACTGAAACATCATAAGTGACCTGGTACTCTTGTGTTTCCTGTATTTATGTTGCCATTGATTTTAATTGTGAAACAGTGGTTACTGTACTTGATTGCTGAAATAAAAATGTGCCCATATGAGCTTATTTAATTTCTGGAGAAGAAAGAACCCTAAAGCTCAGAATGTTGCTGCTATGCTGATGCTAATCTAGATTTTCTTTAATTAACATGGGCATTTCTTGTTGAATCTCACTTCCTGCAATTAATGAGGCTTATCCTTCCATGTTTTGCTTACTCTTTTAGCACATTACATTGACATTTTTCTAGGTACCTGGTTATTACACTAACTCCTGATGCAAACAAAAGTAAATATTTATTTCCCACTTCATCTCCTTTTCTTTGTGACAAATTTCAAATTATCATTTTTCTTGGTTGACAGAGAGGAACTTATTGTGAAAAACAAACATTGTGAGGTTTATAAAATTGTTGAATAATAATCGTGTCTTGGTTTCTGCATATTGTTCCTTAGAAAATACATTGTTGTGTTACTTCTTTAGTTGGATTTGCTTAAGTTTTCTTGGCGAGTGGCTTGTAGCACTAGTTTTCGAGTTGAGATCTGTTGTTTCTGTTTAGCTCTCCTTTTAATTGTCACTCTACTAAATGTTTTGACAACCGAGGAGACCACACATCTCAGCTCTAGTTTTCTTCTTCTTGATATTATTTAGCGTTGTTCGGCTAAGGTGGATGAGTGAGTGGAGAGAGATGGTGGCATTATGATGATTCCAAAAAGAAAATAAATTTGGTCTTATATTAGAAGTAATTTTTAAGCAAAACCGGACATGCTAGATTTCAATTAATTGAAGTAATTATAATATTCTACTATATAATGTCATCTCAAATTTATTTATTTATTTATTTTGGTTATAATATCTGGTTTTTCCGTTTGTTCAATTTACTTTCTAAATAATTATATTCTTAGAATTTTGAGGATAATCACAATACATGTACATCTATCTAGCTTTTTCCATCATAACATAATACTAAATGTTAGGTTTATTAAAGATAATAAAATATATTAAATACCTGATAAATATTAAATCAGTTAAGTAGTCAGAATTTGCTAGTTTAAAATTAAAAATAACTAAGTATTTTAAATTCATTAATTGTATTCTATCTTGAAATTTAATTGTTTTATATTAATATTTAATATTAGCATTCTATTCATTTTGTAGTAGATGTTTTGCTCATTCACCATCGAGAAATAACTAGCCTTCTAAGGAAACCATGTATATGATAAGAACGGAAGGAGTCTCCCTCACTGTGGGGTCGTCAAAGCATGGTTTTAGGCAAATTCACGAGACCAAAATATACATGGAAGAACCTAGTGTTAGTAATGTAATAAGGAAACACATTTCAATATGGACACATGCCTTCTTTGTGGTTCATTTTATCCCAAAGTATACTGCAATCAATGTATAATCATGCAACAAAATGTATAATACTTCAATCAATTTGTTGTATAAAAAAATGGGATAATTGCATCAGAAGCACCAAACATTTGAAGCACAGTAGACTTTCTCCCAGCCTTTCATTTGTTGTAGCCATCATTTCAAACCTTTTAAAACATTGCATCTATTGCCCTTTTAGATGGAATCTGTCCAATTTATCATTAGTTGACCTAAAAAGTGATTTTGACAAAAAAAAAATTAATTTTAATTACAGTTTACTCAATTATAAAAGGGCAAAACAGTAATTTAATATTTTTGCTATAAAATAATTAAAAACTTAAATAAAAAATAAAAAAATGGAAAAACTTTATTCTTCTCCTTCACAACCACCCCACTCCCTCAACCCAAAACCAAAAATCCGCCATAAGACAACCTACAAAATCTGTACATATATTATTCAGATTAAACAATCCCTAATTGTTGAAAATGAAAATCAAATATCAGTGGAAAAGGAAAAAAAAAAAAATGGCAAACCCGCCATGGTTGCAAAAATCAGTTGCTTTATGAGAACCCATCTCAATAATTATCTGATTTCGCTACGCCAGGATATTGGTTCGCTCTAAGTCTAATCTTCCTTTTGATTAAAAAAATCATCACAGCCTCAAAATATTTTTAGCTTCCGCTGGTTTAGTATTAGGGATTTTGATTGATGATACTTGTTGCGGGTTGTCACACCAGGCCCACCTACCTAAGACAATGGCCCACTCATGGCGATCCACGTGGCATTCCTGTCGAGGTGGCACACAATGTCGAGGTGGGCTATATCTGAACTGTTTCGAGCCGAAGTCCATCTGCCGAGGCTCCCTTTTGTCCGAGGCCTACTAACCGAAGTCAGGCTGCTGGAACCCGCTGAGAGCAGCTGAGGCCCTCGAATGGAAGTATCATGACAAATGGCCGAAGCCCTGAAGTTGATCCGCGAGCCTCTGAACCACAACGAAACATCCTCCATGGTCACTTCTCCCAAGAGATCACCTGCACAGATCTTATTCGAATGATTGATAGAATGTTTGTCATAAGCATAAAGGTTAAATCTTGTCATTAGCATGGAGGCCCTGCACAAGCAATAAATGCGCCGTAAGCTAGCAAGTCAAGCCCCATACCTAGGAAAAGATGTTTGAACTAAAGAGATGAGGTCACGTGCCACTTCATCCAAGGGCTCCCATTTCATATGTACTACTATAAATACTCCCTTGTGTAATATCAAAAGACTAATGCAAGAATCAATACAAAGAACTACATTTACTCAACTCTCTCTCAGTTCACTTGCAATACACAAATCAAGTTTATACACATTTATATATACATTTATGAACACCGGTTGGTAATTATTGTATAATCGGATTACGAACAACCCGCCGGATTCCAAATGTCATCGTCCTGCGTCGTTGGGCTACTCCCACGCCCTTTGAACCTCTCGTTTTAGACCGTCCACGTGTCTTAGCGTGTTGGACATTCACCCACGCAAGCGCGGGTGGGACCGGCATCTGTTGGTGCACTTTTTGGGGTCAACAGATTGGCGCCGTTTGTGGGAAACCATACCACTTACCTCCACTGCTTGCCACTTACCTCGCACCCAGAACCAAGACTCCTTCCACCCCTTGATAGAGGAAGGAAGTCCCACCACAAAAGGTGCGTGAACCCCCCAAGGTGTGAGGTAGTACCACCCCTTAGACTCCTTCCCAATCACCCGAGGTTGGAACATGGTCATACACACATGGAGAGGTATGTCCTCCCCAAGTGACACTTCCTTCCATAGGAAGTACGAGCCGACCAGTTGGCTCCACCCATTCGGCAGAACTTGGGTCGGGGACAGCATAAAGTTCCTAAGCACCGCCCTGAAGAAGGGGTGCAGAGGTAGACGCATACCTGCCTTAAACAGGTATTCACTGACGGTCATGCAGTCGGCCCTCGGATAGCAGGCCCGCTCGTTCGGCTCGGGGACTAACATTTCTATGGAGTGGGGTACACTATACCTCTCCCTAAGTTTCCCCAACCTCTTCCACGTCATGTTCGAAGGTACTAGATGCCCCCCACTCTTGGGTATCATCTACAGGGTCCTCGGTCATGACATACCTATCCACCTCGGACTCCCCCATCTGATCGACCCCATGATCTAAAGACGCCACTGTCACTAGCTCCCTACCCGAAGTGGACTCCATTTTTCCAGTAAAAAGACAGTAAAATGGAATCTTCTGCAAAAAAAATACCCAATGGAATTTGACACAAACGGAGATTGGCCGAAAATTGAAATTACAGTCAACCTCGACGTCGAAAAATTTTGAAGATTTGAGAGAATATCAGAGTGCAAGTGTTCAAAAATCCTGAAAAATGGGATTTCCTCACCTTTTATAGGGGTCCAAGACGAACCCCGGCCGTTAGATCGAATCTCACTCAATCTGAGCCCTCAATTTCAGATCCAATCCGAGGTGTTGAATTCAAAGGGTTTTTCAATCCTACGCCTCAAATTCATGCGTACCGCCCATGCACCTCGTCCAGCGCGTCTGCTTCTAGAAGCGCCAGCTGCCCTCATAATTGCATTGTTAATAAAACGGCAGCAGGCGCTTTGGAAGTCGTAACGGTTCAGCCACTTTTTCTCGAAAACAAGCACAAGACATCAAATCATTGGCTCAGCTACCAAGGCACAATCATTACCATTGGACCTCGGCTCCCTCTTCATCTTGCAGCAACGAGCCTCGCAGGTTCGGTTCCTCAACCACCTCGGCTCCTCTTCGTCATTCAGCAACGAGCCTCGCATGTTCGGTCCCTCAGCCACCTCGGCTCCCTCTTCATCTTGCAGCAACGAGCCTCGCAGGTTCGGTCCCTCAGCCACTTCGGCTTCATCTTCAAAAGTTCAATACCTCGCCTATTTCATCGCAAACCCACAGTAACACTTCTCTAACTCCAACCATGATATAAATATCTATACTTGGACTTGGGGGACTATTATTTGGGGTTCAAAAAATTCTTTCAATTTTTTACTCTATTAAAGTCTACGCATTACATAAATGAATATACTTAGACTTGGGGGACTATTGTTGCGGGTTGTCACACCGGGCCCACCTACCTGGGACAATGGCCCACTCATGGCGATCCACGTGGCATTCCTGCCGAGGTGGCACACAATGCCGAGGTGGGCTATATCCGAACTGCTTCGAGTCGAAGTCCATCTGCCGAAGCTCCCTTTTGTCGAGGCCTACTAACCGAAGTCAGGCTGCTGGAACCCGCTAAGAGCAGCTGAGGCCCTCAAGTGGAAGTATCATGACAAATGGCCGAAACCCCGAAGCTGATGCGCGAGCCTTTGAACCACAAAGAAACATCCTCCATAATCACTTCTCCCAAGAGATCACCTGCACAGATCTTATTCGAATGATTGATGGAACGTTTGTCATAAGTATAAAGGTTAAGTCTTGTCACTAGCATGGAGGCCCTGCACAAGCAATAAATGCGCCGTAAGCTAGCAAGTCAAGCCCCATACCTAGGAAAAGATGTTTGAACTAAAGAGATGATGCCACGTGCCACTTCATCCAAGGGCTCCCATTTCATATGTACTACTATAAATACTCCCTTGTGTAATATCAAAAGACTAATGCAAGAATCAATACAAAGAATTACATTTACTCAACTCTCTCTCAGTTCACTTGCAATACACAAATCAAGTTTATATACATTTACATATACATTTATGAACACCGGTTGGTAAGTATTGTATAATCGGATTACGAACAACCCGTCGGATTCC